AAAACCCCTAATTAAGGGGCTTAAATCTCTAATTCAGACTGTTTATTTAGCACAACAACTTATCTTTAAATATACAGGCAACTATATTCATACAGGTTTTAACAGAAAACAAGCCGAACAACCCCTAAATTTGCATTTACCATATAGACTCCAAATAGCAAATTGTCTGTATGTATTTGGTAAGATTATGAACGGTAGAAGTTTTGATGGGGTAAAGTTGCATGTCCCCGAGGGTTTTCGATGAGATAAATGACAATCAAGCATATGGCAAGCCAACCTGGTGGCATTTTTGTGAGTCCTGTCTCATCTCATATATGAAATACAATATAAATAATCAACAGTTCAACTTAACTTACAAATAATATAATTTTACGATCACAATAACAAATTGGATTTATATAACGTTAAAAACGTATAAGTGTCTTAATAGATTGTTTTATATGACTTAAGTTTTTAGGACCAAATAATTATGTATATTGTGTAAAAACACTGCAATAAATTTATAGGACGTTTTTTTAATGTTTTATCAACTTTTAAAAATACTTTTGAAATTACGTGCTGGATTACAACATACTTCACCTTATGAACATATCTTTTTATAAATACTGTTTTGAAATAAGGTCATATAATTTTTTTAATAAGACGTTTTATGAACATATCTTTTTATAAATATGGGTGGTGTCTGATTGGGTTGAGCTTGTGCTCCAAATATCAAAAGTGCCTGGAGGTCTCAGGTTCAAATCCAAGGAGGAACAAAAATATCATTATGGCCACAGAGGTTCAAATGCGGTGACTTCGGGCTACCTGCAAAGCTAGTGGTTGTTCTGGAATTAATCGGCTCGTATAGCGGGTTGGATATCCAGGTTAATAAAAAAAACTTGTTAAAACGTCCGAGAGAGTCCTATAAACTTATTACAACAATTTTACATAACGTAATTGTTTGGTCATATAAAATAGTCTATCTAACATTTAAACATATTTGATGTTCTATAAATCTGAGTTTGTTGTAGTGAATTGTTAAAAGATTTACTGTATGTACATATAAAGTTACAAAAATATTGGTCATAAAAACTTGTCAAAGTATGTTCAACGCGGTCCAAAGAGTGTGGATTAGTCCGGATCTAGCTAGCAAGGCAAAGATCAAACCCAAAATGGATTAGTCCAAAATGGTTAATGATGAAAAAAGAAATTATGAGTAGAGAAATAACATATTCAAGATTAAAAGAATATTTTAATGTACCAAAGTTTCAACCCGTACGGTTTGGGTTGGGTTGGATAGCACTTTTGTTTGAGTTGAGTTGGGTCAAGATTTTTCAAACCATAAGCATTGGGTTGAGTTGTTCAAATGTCTGTAACCCGATCAACACAACCCATTAGCACCCTAGTCCGACCTAGTCCAAGATTTATCCAGTTCGAAAAAACAATTTGGGCTTGATTTGGTCCAATTCTTAAAAGTTCACACTGATACATTAAAAAAACAGGGGAAAACAAACTAATAGATTTATAATAAAATAAAAAAAAGACTCATATTTATCTGATCGGAATCAATCACAGATTAATTTGATTCGAAAAGAAACTGACAGTCTCACATAATCAAGATTGATGATATTATGGACCGATGTTTATCAAGTTTATGAGCAACTATGGATGGCAAAAAAAAAACCGAAAACCGATGGTAAAAACCGAAAACCAAAACTTTTAGGCCGGGTTCGTGGACATTTTATCGGAGACGGAGCGGGGATGGGGGACAAATTCGGGGATTTTAACGGGGACGGGGACGAGGATGGTGATCACCGGTCTGGCCCGGCCCGATATGTGTATATATATTAATTTCAATTTATATACATACATATATATATATATTATATATATATATATATATATAATATCATTAAAAAAATAATAATATTAAAATTTAAAGGACTTTTATCCACTTTACTTCAACAACCCAAATAAGGCTCACGAAAAAAGTCTAATTTATTTATCTAATCATGAAATCATGATGTTAATTATATGATGTTTGAATTTTTTGTTACTTTTATCTTGTAATCTAATACATTGTTTGTAATTGGTTCGGCTATATTTGAGACATTTAAACTTATATCTTTAAAAAAAATTGTAATTTACTTTTAATTGTGAAAATTAACATATTGTAATTTTTTAAATCAGTTTCGGGTTCGGTTATAACCAACGGTGAACAAAAAAAAAAGAATTTTTACTCTTAACGGGTTCCCCAACGAGGATCGTGGAAACCGCAAGGACCGATAGAGATCCCCGATAAGATCCCTGACGAGGATCGGGACAGTTACAAGGATGGTTTTAATTATCAGTTTCGGAGATGAGGATATCAATACCCGGCCCAAATCCGGCCCGTTGTATGAGCAACGCTCTCTTATTAAAAACGTTTCAATATCTTGTTTTATGATATATTTTAATCTATACATCTTTTTAACCTTCTCGAACAATTTAAGTCTTTTAGTTATTTGGATTTATCAATTTAATTATTTATGCTTCCAAAAGATATCAATTTAAAAAATGCCTCAACAAATCTTAGTCCTTGTCATTATCATTTTCTTAAGCTTTTAAGCTTTAGTTGACATGCAATTCACACCTTCATATATTATGTTAATTCAAATCACTCCCTTCACGGTAAAAATATGATTGAATCAGTCCTTTTTGTCATAAGAAAAGTGTTCGCATGTAGCAGCCTAAGCGGCTTATGAACTAGGCTTGTGTTGTTGAGACGTGAACGTTAACATCTCGTTTATAAGATATGTCATTTGTGAAATATACAAAATATCAGTTATTTCTGTGTCATACAACTTTTAGCTGGTAAATCTTGTAACTGTTAATGACATGGATGACAAGTTATATTTTAACTTTTGGTTACGTGGAAATGTTGTATCATAATCAACCAACGTGACATATATTGAAACCCTGTTTTCTGGTAAAATAAGTACGAAACAAGAAGAACTGAATGTTTGTTGCACTGACTGCAAAATATAAGAGTATTGTTCCCTTAAATAGAAATTAGAGCAAATTACATAAATCGTCCTAATGGTTTACTCAAACTTATGTAATTGTCACTCAAGTTTCAAAATTACACATGTGGCATGTTGTTTCAAGTTGCTTTTACAGTTAATTGTTGCCACCAACATCCCAAAAATGGAACATCTCGGTGAATCAGCCATTTATGGTGTTGAAGAAATGATGTTGCAGAACGTTGATGAATCTCAAAACAGAACACGACGGTGAATCCACCATTGATGTTATTTTCATAAATGGAGTGCATGCATAACCTAGAGAGAGAAAATGATAAAGAAGAAGAAGAAAGGATATGGTCTTGTTCTGCAGGTGAGTCGAAGGAAGAAGAAAGAACATGGTGTTATTATGGATGTGAGTTAGGAGGAAGAAGCTCGTGTTGTTCTGCTAGGAAGTTTAGGTTATTCTGTTGTTAGGGAAGAAGACAAGAGGATTATGAATATTTTTAATTCCAAATGTTTTTAAAAAAACTTTATAAAAGAAAATACTAAATGACCAAAATACCCTCATTTGACTTAGACGTGAGGGTTACTTAACAGATGTCTTAACATCCATTAATGTTAGTTACCATTAGTATAAGCAAATTGAAACATTGAGTATCCTGGAGTTTGAATAAACCACATGGACCATTAATGTAATTTAGGGGCTGTTTGGTTTGTGGAATTCAACAAATTTCAAGGGAATTGGAATAATCATTTTCTTTGATCAAATTCCAATTCTTTGTTTGGTTCACATATTGAAAATGTAGGAATCCTATGAATTTCATTGAATTACACCAAATTAAATAAATTTGGTTAAATTTTGAGGGGGTGTTTGACTCACATAATGGAATTTGATTGAATTAGAATCCATCAAATGAATATAACTTTGAAGGAATTTGAATGGAATCTGACCACACGTTTGGTTGGATAGAATTGTTAAAGAAATTGGAATTTTTTAGATATCCCGTGCCCGTGGAAACAATGGGATCTTTAGTTGAAAGAATTCAATGGAATTCAAAAGATTTCTAAACTATCAGGAGACGTTTGGTTCGTAGAATGGAATTCGATGGAATTGGAATTCATCAAATGAATTTGACTTTGAAGGAATGGAATGAAATTTGATGGAATTTGACCATGTCTTGTGATTGCGTTTGGTTGCATGGAATTGGAATGAATTTGGATTAGGGAAGGAATTTGTCGGATAGGATTTGAAATCCGAGGGTATTGTCGTGGAATGTAAAATCCACGAGTGAAGAAATTTATTGGAATTGAAAGAATTCCATTAGTTTTATTCCATGAACCAAACATTGTATTTGGAATTTGGTCAAAGGATTTGGCCATTCCAATTCCTTTCAATTCCATCCAAATCCATGAACCAAACAACCCCTCAATATGTGAATCAAACAAAGGAATTGAAAATTTAATTAAAAGAATTGACTATTCCAATTCTCTTGAAATCCTTTCAGTTCAATAAACCAAATATCTCCTCATTCATTTTGTTCAACCAACAACCTCTTCAAACCAACCACAAGGCTGGTGCATGATTGGTTTGAGTTTGACTCCAAAGGTCAAAAGTACTTGGAGGTCCCAGGTTCAAATCCAAGGAGGAATAAAAATTCCCTTGTGGCCACGGATGCCTAAATGCGATGACTCCAGGCTATCTGCAAAGCAGGTGGTCGTCCTGAGATTAGTCGGCTCGCATAACGAGTTGGATATCCAGGTTAATAAAAAAAAAATCTCAACAAACCGTCTTCGTGTTTAAGGGGTCAAACTACAAAACAGTTAAGAGTATAGGTCCTCAAAAATAAAATTGGTATATTTAAGTGGCCAAGCCTCGATGTGAGACATAAAAGAGAGAAATAGGGAAGAAAATAAAGACGGTGGCGCTTACGCACACCCATCTAGAAGTCCTTGACTTTTAATTTATTGCAAATTTGGCACCAAACAAAACGAAAACCCGACCATACCCATTTGTTTCCTGCTATTTAAAGTCACAAACGGTCCATTGAAGCCATTCATTGACGATGCCACCACAACTACCATTTCACACACACACCGATCACCAAATTTCCCCCACAAAGTCATAAATCATGTTCGATCTTAATCCCCAATTCCTCAACAAACCAAATCATCCCGTGGATAAATTGAATCACAAGTTCGTTGGGTGGAGCGATTCTGGATTTGCTCGAAACCATGGGAATTACAGACAGAGGTTCAACGGTGGAGGAGGTGTTGGTGTTCAGTTTAGATTGGAAACCATGGAGGAGGATTCGGGGATCTGTTCACCTCCGTTGTGGCGGAGTATTAGTCCGCCGGATAGTCCGGTACGATTCAACAATCCACGGCTTCTGTCACCGTCGTCGCGAGCCCAAGCCATTGCTAGAGGACAGAGGGAGATCATGGAGATGGTGGAGAACATGCCGGAAACGTCGTATGAATTGTCGTTGAAAGATATAGTTGAACAGAGACGAGATCTTACTGAAACTAGCCTTGATGAAACACAAAGTATGGAGGAAGGGGAAGAGAGATCGATATTACGCGGTGGTCAAACCGATAGTCAACGATGGAGGAAGAGCAAGAAGGGCAGTGTAAAGAGGCAAGAGAGCAATAAAACAGGAAGGATCATCGTTAAAAATGGGAGTCTGAATCACAACAAAGGACTTCTAATCAATATGTTTTTTCCATTTTCAATCGGATCTAAGAAGAATAAGAAGAACAACAAAACTAGTATTACAACCAGTTCATCTTTTGGGAACCATATCGCCTCTGCAAAATTCTCGCCGAAGCCTGAATTATTGGATAAATCCTCCAAGGACGGCGGCGGCGGAGGTGATCGGAGGGATGGGTGGTGGAAGAAATTCACGGGTTCCAGTGATAGCGAAAGCCTAAGGGTTACTAGCAGCAGCAGTGGCGAGAGCACCGGCAGAAGTGGAAGCAGTGGCAGCAGCGGTAGCAGCACCGCCGGCAGCCTCCGTAGCAACAGCACCAGGTACCGTTGCTTTCCCCTCCACAAATAATATGACTTTTCTTACACGCATCACTAGCTTGTACGGTACAAATTGGTGATGCATTTATAATATTTGCTCTAATTTTCTAATATTCAATGACATAAAAGATGGTAAATATTTGATATAAAAGAATTTATAAAATTTAAAAGTAGCAATAATGATATTAAAGTATTTAGTTTCTATAAATTTATCTATACTATATTATAAAATATTTAAAAAAAATTTAAAAACTACTTTTTATATATGAAACAGTGTTTATTGATACATGTTACTTAAAATTCAATATTATAAGTAATTGTATGTAAGTACAACTTATTAAAAATCTATTTTTGAATTTGTGTAATTAACTGCAGATAAACATAATCAAATACATGATAAACATCTTATTTTAAATATATAAAATTAATGTATTAATTAAGATAATCATTGATTTTTAACAAAATACTTAATTATTATATTTATAAAAATTATATTATTAAANGATTTAATATTAATATTGTTACTTTTTTTTTCAAATTTATATTTCATTAAAAAATAAAAATATTATCGTTTTCTAAAACCACATAAAAACGTATTATATATATAGAGAAAATGAATAAAATGAAATATTGAATTAAGATATCTGATTGTATTATGTGAGTCTACTTCTAGCTTATTTTTAACAAAAAGAAGATAATTTGAATATTTATAATTTAAAATAATGACCGATTAAATATTATATTATGTCGGCTGATTTTATTAATTTTTTAAAGTTGCTTTAATAATTACAATGTCAAGATTTGATAAATAGTTGAAAGTATAAACTAAATACTCGTTTGAAATTCATGGTCTCATTTTTTTCATATAAATTCGTTATTAAAAAAAACAAAAATATATTAATTAAAAAAAACAATTAATTAAATCCAATTTTAAATATTTAATAGGCGTAGGGTTTTCAACAACTCTTCTAATTTCCAAATAAAATCTTGACGTGACTCACACGTGTGCATGCGTGTTCATTACGATCGGCCCTCATCTTCTTACTTTTTTATTTTATAGGATATGTACCAAATAAAAAAAAAAGCTTTAACAAATCAACGTATCATTTAATCCGTTGTAACTATTTTTAATTAAAAAAACAAAAAATAAAATGATGATGGATAGGTAGGTTGCATCGCGTATAATCTAGGGTTAGGTTTACATGCAACCAGTCTGTTTTCGTGCGACTATATTTTTATATTTGAAATTTCATAACAAAATAATGTGAAGGTAAAGAAAATCTGATCTTTTATAGTGTTCAGTTGTGAAGTTTTAAATGTAAAAAATTAATATCACGGGTCTCACAAAAACAAGTTGGTCTCACGTGATCACAAATCTATATATACATACATGTAACATAGAAGTGTTGTAAAAATTTGACATGTTTTTAAATTACACTACCTAGAATAAATTTTAAGCTCACATAAATTTTAAGCTATTGAGCTCAAACAATATTTATAAATTATACCCTTAAAATTATGCTCGTTAAATATGAATCAAATAAGAGTACGATTTTGTATGCATACTTTGATGTCCCATTGTTGCAATTGAACTTACAATTTTGGCTTTAACGACATATCATATTCCTCGAGATTAGTTGTACTCAGTAATTTGAATATTTTGCTTTGACTATGATGTAGGAATAATAGCAATTGCAGTCACGGATGTTGGTCGTTCTTCCCCTCTAAGAAGAGAAAATCATGAAGTTGAGAAACTAGAACAATTTGTAGAGACGGGATACGAGCACTTACGAAGACGTTTCCATGGTAGGATCAGTTGTGAGAAAATGTCACGGCTTATTACGAGCATTGGTCTATGGGAATGGTATATTATGTGCAAAACATTGTATTCTCTACTTATGAGAATGTCATCTTTATGGGGATTAATGTTGCGATAAGGTTAAATATGATAACAATGATTTATTTACGTGTCATATATGTATAGATTGATTTGTAATTTTCGATAAATATTGGCTACGACACGAGTTTATTTGGAAACCTCATTATTCCAGCTAAGGAAATCAAATTGAATAGAAGGCAGAGCTTATGTATATTAAAAGGACCTAATTTCGATTTAGAAATGATAATCTTGAGGGGTTGCGTTGGTTCATGAAATTTGGTGGAATTGGAAGGAATTAGAATGTCTAAATCTTTGACCAAATTTCAAATTCCATGTTTGGTTTACAGAATAGATGTGAAGGAATCATTCCAATTCCAACAAATTTCTTAAGTCACTAATTTCACAATTCCACTGTATATACCACGGATTTCAAATTCTTTTCCGACAAATTCCTTAGCCCTCATCCAAATTCGTCGACGTTGTATCTCGATTTGCTCTGCTCTACTCGATCTTCTTTGCTTGATCTCGTTTAAAACTGTTCGATCTCATTCGCTCTGCTTGATTTGGTATGTTCGACCTCTCTCTCTCTCTATCTCTTTCTCTCTCTCTCTCTCGCTCTTTCCATCCTAAAAAGGATTTTCTCGATCTGCCATCTATGTAATTTATGTTTATAGCCTATTTTCTGTTTGGGGTTGGTCTTGACTGCTCTATTGTTGTTTTATGGCATCAGACCAACTGTTGTTTAATGGGAACTATAGTTTCAATCTCATGTTTTTGGTCTCACTGAATTTGCTATTTATAAGAAGTCTGTGTTTTGGTCTAATTGATTTTGTTGTTTTAATTGCATCACATGTGTAGGTATTTTGGTTTGTGTTTTGGTCTAAGTCTATGCCATATCTGTTTGGTTCATGGAATTTGGTTTAATTTGAGTGGGATACAGAGGATTTTTAATTTCAGTGTATATATGTAATAAATCTCCTCCTGATTCTAAACTAACTCAAATGCATAGAAGTTGCTTCGTCCCAAACCACGCATCCTAGAAAATCCCATACCGCTCCAAGATCCAAGCCTTTGCACCAAATAAGAATCTTCTTTCTTATATTGGGTAAACCGCACATTAAGTCAAGAATTAAAACAATGAAAAAGGATTGGAAAATGGTCCATGACATGGTGAATAGGACAAATACGAGTGGTTTGGTTATGATTGTTTGAAACAATGTGTAATTGCCGAAGCACCAGTTTGGGAGTCTTACCTGAAGGTAACCGTTATATATTTCATGCTATATTTGTAGTTATTATTTGATATTTTTGCTAATTAACTTTTATGACATGAAATAGGTACATAAAGAGGCGGCAAAATGGAAAAACAAGATATTTCCACATTTTGAAGACTTGTCTATTGTTTTTGGAAAAGATAAAACCCAAGGAAGTAGAGTTAGGGATGTTGTTGAGATGGAGAAGCAAGTGAATCTAGAAGAACAAGAACAACAATCAGAGGACACATAAAGTAGCCATAATGTACATAATGCTACAGATGCGAAGTGAAGATGGTTCAAGTCGAAATAGTAAGAAGAGAAAACCCGAGTTGAGACTCTTGTTGACGGAATGCATAGTGCAGCTCTCTTACTTGGAGAGAAATTTGAAAATGCATCGAAAAATATGGTAGATACGAAAATCGATATACAAAACAAGACTTCCATGGTGAATTCTAAACTTGCAAAAATGCAATCACTTTCTAGAGTGGAAAAGTTCATAGCAATCAAGAAGATAACAAGTGAACCTGATAAACGTGTTAATTTTTTGGAGTTTGGAAGAAAGGGAGCGAGAGGAGTGGGTGAGGTTTATGTTGGAAGGTTGATTTTGGTTATGATTTAAAAACTTGAATTTGGGTTTTGGAAGTAAGATATGTAGTTAATAGTTTCAGATATTATCAGATCTTAGTAATTTGTAGTAAACAATTTAAGATATTAGTAATATAAGGTATGTAGTGAACACTTTCAGATTTTATCTGATGTTAGTAATGTAATTTGGTTTATGGTTATTTAGTTTCCACAAATTTATGTAATAAATGATTTTTTTAATTAATGAACGACAATTTAAATAATTTAACATATTGAATGGTAATTTTAATTTTAAAGAAAAATGATAAAGAAAAACATAAAATATCATTTGTTGATATTTAATTCCGATTCCAAAGTTGAATTTCATGAACGAAACAAAAAAAATTCCAATTCCTTTAAGAAGTTCATTCCAATTCCATCCAACCAAACACAACCAAAAGGCATGGTCAAATTCCATCAAATTCCCTAAAGTCAAATTCCATTCCAATTCCAACAATTTAGTTGATTATTCAAATGCTTTCAAATTGACTAATCCAACCTAAATAAAGCATTCTCAATCAAACCGCATCACCAAAGGATAACTTTCATCTATTAATGTATGTCCAAAACCCAATCATAGAATGATTTTATCATGAAATTTATTATTGAAAGTATTTTGTACTTATTATGTTTATATCATGATCTATGTTTGTTTCGATTAAACATGGTAATAACCCTAAAATAATGTACTCTAAAATGTCTCTAGTCAAGTATTACTTTGGGTTTTAGTTGAGTAATAGGAGAACAACTACTATGTGTTGGAATTTATATGAAGATATAAAATTCACATATGGGGCACTTGTGCATCGAACATGACTTGCTATGAGAATGTTACTTTGGATGTAATACAAGTGTCATAACGTTTCTAATGTGGTCATCTACTTGGTCTGTTGACTCAAGATCATAGAGTTTTGTTAGCATGACTAACATGATTTGAACTTACTTTAATTATTCTGTAACTGGGTAACAAAATGGTTGTTGGATATAACATGTATTATTTAGTAGTACTTGCATGAATCAAGATAGGATTTGTGCCTCCTATATGACATGAGTGATTTCCTCTAGGCCCCTTGATTGAATGGTTCTGTAGAAATCCATACATGCATAGATAGTCACTATGTGATTCCCATATATGTTCTGTTAGTACGTTCGGACAGTCAAAAAATTAGGTTATTGGACAAAACTGGGATGACATACCTATGTATTGCGTGGCAAAAGAACATAATGTGCAAATTGATAACAATCATGAGTTTGTTGATTGATTGAATCATCAAACATTATCACTTGTGTAGCGACGATTCATTGCTATATGTCACGCTTCATCTATAACTACAAATATGATATATAGTTATTGTCAACATGATAAAGTCCTATAAATCACACACATATAACATATCTGAATAAAAAGTTCGACTAATTAAATTGTTTAACTATTATATATGACTTAATCTAATTAAATTAAAAATCAGATATCATATCTTATATGACACCATAGTGGGAAATGACAAGTATGGACTTGTAATTTGAAAATTTATAAATGAACTATTTCTACTATTTGAACGTATGATTTTAAAAAAATGCGTTTGATGGGTTTTAGAAATTGGTAATGTTACACAATTGTGTTTTTAGGGCATGTTACATATGATTGGGTGTATGTTTTCTTTTTATATCTCAAAATTGTAATGCCCATGATTTTAGTTATATTAATGAACATTTATTTCCAGAATCTCAGTGAAAAATATCGTTATCTTCTGTCGATATTGGGTTTCAGAATGTAAGGTTTACCCATATGAGTTGCCTAGCCAAAAAGATATCATTTCTAGGGAGTTTTGAGATCGGTCAGTGTTTTGGGTGACTTACCGGACAGCTAGTGCTGCATGGTAAGCCGCCTAAGTTACTGCACGCTGACTGTTCTAGAAGGCATGAAGAGAAGAAACAAAAGACCTTGGTTAGGCGGCATAGGACGCATGGGCTGGGTGCCTGAGCCGCTGGCATGCTGTTCACAGGACGATACGTGGAAAAGGGTCGGGCGACATTAGGTCACATGAAGCTAGTGTAGGGAAACGCGGGCGAATTGGGACCGGGCTATTTAAGCCATATGGGATGGTCGCACCGCACCCAAGTGCCTTAGACACGGTTCCAACCCCTTAGCCATTTTTCCCATTTTTCTTATCTCTCATTCCCCTCTTAACTTTTAAAAACATTGGAACCCTAGGTCCGGTTCTCGAGTCTTTTAGAAGACTTTGCTTGGTGGTTTGAAACTTCTAAAGTTGGAAGGTAAGATCGAATTTTTTTCTTCTAATTTAGGCTTTGATCTCTTTTCTTCTACAATCTCTAATTCTTCATTGTGGTACATTTTGATATTTGGGAGTAAAGGAAATATATTTGGAAGCTTCACATCTTAGATTGGGAATTTGACTTTAAGTCTCAACTCTTCACCAAAGGAAGCTCAAATTTTGGAGTAAAACCTAGATTTAACATAAATCTAGTAAGGTTAGTTCTAGTAGTTTTACAAAACTATATACATGTCAAAATACCTCTATATTGGGTTATAAATACATCATTGATGTGTTTGTTCCAATTATTGTGCACTTGCATATGTTTTTTATATAGAGGGGGAGGCCCCTCCTATCAAGAGAAAAAACGCTAAACGCTAAATAGCAGATCAAATTTCCCGCTCGGATGGGGGCGAACCACTTCCACCAGAATAATCCAAGGCACTTGCATATGTTTTAGGTCTCAAAATCTTGAAAGGACTTTTATAATGTGTTATTTGTTACTTTGAGACATAAACCTTTGATGATGGTTTCAAATGATATTTATTTCATCAAATAAGGTTTCTTAAGTATTTGGATGATTTAGGGGCAACATATTGTTTGATGCTTGAAAAATGTGGTTTTGGGATTTTACCCAATTCATGAACTTTAATAGTGGTACTTGAGCCCTCTTTGGTTATAAATGTGCAAATTTATGATACATGCCTATTATTGGCTTTGTGAGGATTTTGAAAATACAAACCATGTGGTTTGGACCTTTTGCTATTTTGATTCAATAAAGTGATGGTTTATGGATCTATTCATGTTATGGGTGCCATGTGTTTATTAAGTGTTGGGAATTATGTCTTTTTGGCTTATGCGGTTTACTTTGACTTTATCTAAATGGTCAAGTGTTTTATGAAGCCCTTTTTGCTTGGTTTTAACTCAAATGAATTTTGGGGACATTTGTCTGGTCTTAATGGTTCAATGTGGAGCTTTAGACATATAATGAATTTATTGCAT